CCGCTGTATTTAGCATTTTCAACACGTATTATTGGCATCAAAATGAATTAAATACTGTGACACTATTTACTGGAATCACCCTTTACAAATAATTCAATTTTATATTCTTTTCCGTGTACTCCGTTGAAATAGAAAGCTGCGCCAATTGGCGCTAACCTTTTTTCGCCAAGTCGTATGCGTTTTGATTTCGTAAACACGAACTGCCTGCTATAAAAAAATAAAATGCTATTATTAATATTATTATTTATTAAGTTATTGAGAAAAGATTGCGCGATATGTTTACTTTGTTAAAAAAAGCTGAAAATCTTAATTCATGCAATATTGAACATAAACATTTAAACAGCATTATTTTAAAAATCAGATTACTTTTATAAAGCTCAGTGCTTTATCATTATTTTCTATAAAATCAATTAAAATAAAAATAATCTGGATTATAATTCTGTCTCGTCTACGATACTGTTAGAAATTTATCGTAATTGAAAAAATATGATGTGAAAAATTTACCATATTTTAAAAAGTATTTTAAAAAAGGAGAGAGAGAATTTTTAACTATAATACCGTTTTGTTTCGTAATATCTATAAAGATTTCCATGGTTTTACAAGCTAATTTTTTTTTATATTTATACCATCTCCCCCCCCAAAGAAAATGTTTGATAGGTCACATTTCCATATCAGAGCCATATACAGGGTATTGTGTTTCATAAAGTTATTCATGTAGTATATAATAATACCTAGTTTCTATATTTCGGCCAAATTGTGTGTTTTTGTTTTAAAAAGCTCATTACTTATTCACAAATCAAAAATAGGAAATTTGGAATATACTTGACTACCATTTTGAGTAGGTGATTTTTGGTACTTGTTCCTCATATGCTTTAGAAAGATAATTTAAATAAATAAAAAAAGGCATTAATCCACTTAAAATAAAAATATACTAATTTGAACACCAAACTTTCGAACAAAAAGCTTTATTTCTTCATCAGATGAAAGTTGGATCCTTTGCAGCTGGTAAAGAACGAAAACATTTTTTTTTCAAAATGTGCGTCCTGCTCACATTGATGTTCATACAAAGTAGTATACTTTTGTTTTACTTAATTTTTGAGTGTTTATTTGTATTTAATCCCCTTACTAGTAAATACTATATTTAAATACACATTTTCATAATGTGTTTCTTTAATTGGGATACTGAAATAAAATAGAATATGTATTGTCACGTTTGAATTTATAATTCAGAAAGAAAATTTTATTTTGGAAACGTACATTTTACAGCTGCTCTGCAAAATATGAAATCTTACTAAATTTATTGTATAGCAGCGTACAGTTAAGGCAGTAGCTTCAGAGTTTGCATGAAATTATTTTCTGGACATTGCTGAGTTTATAAGCACTTTAATATGCAAGTAACTGAATAAAATTGGCATTTACAATCAGTGAAAGATCTTTTTAAAAATAAAAAATTCTTTACAGTCGTACATTTTCAGAATGCAAGTACTATTGGTAACGCCGAAAAGTCAAAGGTAAATGAAACTCTTCGAAAAACTATATCTGACTTTAAATTAAGTAAAATTATGTTTACATGAATATAAGAAAGTAAAATATTTTTCTAAAATAAGTTTTCAGTATAATTTATCTTTTTGTATCATAAACTATATTATAAGTTTGGACAGTAACAGTTTATAGTTCCAGCTGAAAGTCAACAGTCTGTAAGTATATATTTCATCAATTGCATAAATACATATGTTACAATGCGATTTTCTTTTTCTCTTTAGGATGCAATGCATTAAAAATAAACGAGATTTTTTTACCTTTTCAATACTATAAGAGTAGTGCAATTAATTTTTAAATGTTATTCAAAATTAAAGTTTCCATCTCAATTTTTTACTATTTATTTTAAATTTTCTTCCTAAAATTATTTAACCTAAACATCTTAAACAACGGTGCAAATAATTTAAAGCGATTATTTAAAATATAAATGAAATATTCAGGAAAAAAGGGGTTAAGTTATATCTAAAAATAATTGTAAAAAATCGAATAACTTAATTCCAGGTCGTTGTTTGCCAACTGCCAGCAAACAGAAATAAAAAAACACTATCTGCCATATCAAAACCGCGCCAAACTGGCAATGAACAGGCTATGCTATCATTTCCCAAGAGCGCCAAGACCATAAGTTACGTGGTATATGTTGGAGACAGCCTAGCAGACGAATTACCTGTGGGTGAGTTGTCTACCTGTTATATGAAGTCGTTGTTCAGAACATCCTCCCATCTTTGAGTTGCTGGATAGCTACTCAAAACATTTAAGTCTATCAAGTTCACTCTTAGTAGCATCTTAACAATTCTACCAGATCGTGTCTTTATGGTCTTAGAACTGTCACATACATCAGAAACACCAGTGGGGTCCAAAGATCGAGGTGACCCAGAAATTTCTGAATGATGAGAAGTACGCAAGTCGTCTCCATATGAGAACCTGAAGACTTTACAGCAGATTGATGTTTTTGAGGATCACTTGGATGACATGAACCTGACAAATCATCATCTGGGATTTCTAGAAGAAACACTCGTTGTATCTGAGGTACCAAATTGCTAGTTTGCCTTCTTAATCTAACTGTTCTCACTTTACCATCTTTTCCTGGATTCAGTTCCATAACCCTAGCCAATGGCCAGTTCAATCTTTTCTTGATATCATCTCCTATCAACGCAACGTCATTCACTCGAATATTTGGAAACTGGGAATTTTGCTGTTGTTGCTGAATAAGTAGTAATAAATATTCCTTTCGAAAATGTACTCGGAGATTTTCCATTAATTTTGCACGAAATCTGATTCTTTTCCTGAGATGATTGGTGTCTACTGTGATTGATGTCAGTTACATCTAAATTGGATCTATTGGTCAAAAGCATAGCAGGTGTAAGTGGAACTAAGTCTTCTGTATCTTCGGACAAATATGTTAAGGGTCGCGAATTTACTACCATTTCATATTCGCACATAACTGTTTCCAGTTCTTCATAGGTAGGAGGAACATACAAGTTCTCCTTTTACAAAACTTTCTTTACATCCATAGGCGCTGCAGCGGATAACCATTTTTTCTTAAATTTTATGCGACCAAGCAGAGCTCTCCTAAAGAGCTGTTTGACTACTCAAACAAGTCTTTTCCTCGACCCGCCCCACCAGGGAGCACGAGGGGGAGAATGACCATTCGATCTTCTGTGCGTCTCTCGAGTTACTTTACTCCAATCAGTTTCTCACAAATTATTATAAGCTCCCCTAAAGTTTATACCCGTTGTCTGTATAAACCCCTCTAGGTCTCACGTTGGGCGCCACAACAAACATACACATAATATTTCAATACTTAGGTTTTCAAAGAAGAAAAATTTGTAAAATAATACACATCGAGAAATAAGTGACAAAAGTTGTTAGTTATTTGATACATATTTAGATCATTTGAGCAGAAATGTGATATATTGATACATATATGAAATTAGATCCAAACGTAATTGCCCTGCGGCTTCGTCATAAATGCACATTACTTGACTTTTAATGCTAATTCAGCAATATAACAGAACCAAATTAGCAATCAAATACCAAAAGAATATAAACACATCTTAATCCCGCTTTTCCCCAATATATTTTCCTTTTCTCCCTAGCGCCTATTCCTCACATGATATTTACTTCCGTTGGCATATTGAAATGTTGCCCATATCCTTAAAGGAGCCAAGTTGGCGCAACCAAGGCTGTTCTCCGAACAATATCCGCTTAACCATGTGGGTGAGAAAGTAACTGAAGAACGCTATATGTGCCATAAGTCTTTCGTTTAGAAAAGCTATTTATTGAAATACAGTTTTACCCAGTTTGGCGAAAAACAGCATAAATATAGATGTTTGTAACAAATCATTTCCATTGACAAATAAATTGTTTAAACAGACATAATTTCGTGCACAGCGATAAGGAACCACGTGAATATATCTATGTAAGAAGTTCTTTGTGGAGAAAATTAATTTAAAAGTTTACAGGTTTATTCATACTGGCACTAAAAATTTATGAATGTGACATTTCTATGAAATATTGTATGCAAACATTATCTACAGAGTTATATGATCATACATTCTAGTTAAAAAAACTCTTTATTGTGCTACATATACTGAAGCTACATATCAACATTTCTTTGTGCATCATAGAAATCCTATTTCCGTTGTGGTGTAGTGGCCGAAACCGCTATGCAAACCCTGAGTTGTGACATCAGGTTGAAAAAAACACAGCATAAAAAATTTATTGAACGCTAAAAAAAAATGGTTACATACAATCCACAAGAGAAAAACCTATCTATATTAAAATCAAATTCTATACATTTTACGTGCGAGAGCAATACGTGCCTCTCGAGCTTGCGTTTTTAACATTGCCAACAATTTAATATTATTTTAATAACAACTATTTTAACAACTATTGAAAACGTATTCGTAAGTTTAATAATAATAATTTTTCAACTTATGCTCACGAAACATCCTTGCCCATTTTAACCTTCAGTTTCTTCTTCCTTTATGTGACCTTATCACAACTCGTCCCCTCATAAAGGAATTTTTCTTGACTATGGAACGAAAAATTCTAAATACTTTTCACTGCTTTCAAAACACAAGTGGTAACCATTTAATTGATAATAGAGAAGCAAGTTGCATTACCCTGTACTGATTTCTAGATAACATAAACGCAAAAATAAAAAAAAAAATAATTTAAACTACTCTTAATGTCTGCCTCGTACAAAGTACATTCTTCAAAGTTTACAAAATGCTAATACTTAAGATAAAACATTTAATTCTAACCAATTTGACAAAGAAACACACGATGCAAACAAATTTAAATCTACAAAAATATAATTCAAAAACGCGACAAAAATCTTTTACGACAACTAGACAACTTTTCCTAGAAACAATCTGCGTTGAATCAGCCAAAACATAAGGAATAGCAACTTCTCCCTCGATATCCTCCATCATGAGATTTGCAAACTCAGGGCACTGCTAATAAGGTTGAATCAAATTCCCCTGACAAATGGTATCACTGTTATGCTTACCCGGAATCTCTACGGTATGGTTGGTTTCAGAATTCACACTAATTACTTTCCAATCTTTTCTGTTTTCTAAGCACAAAGCTTTCGATACTGTTTTCAAAGTGGAATGCAACCTTTCAACAGAATCATATGAATTGTAAACCAAGCCTTCATGACAGCACCCAAAGTCAGTTATTGCAAGTCTAGAAGAGGAGGGTACATACTGGAAATCTAATAAAATATTGTCAGTCTGTAAATCCCGATGGGTAATATAATTTTGAAGCAAGTGTACTAGAGCTTCCAAAAGCTGAGTAAACAGTAGCCATGCTCTGTGACCAGAAACATCTATTCTTTTCAGATATTCTTTTAAACTGCAATTGTATCTCTTCATAACAAGAAATAGAGTCATATTTTTACCACATCCATCACTCAAAAGACGGAGTGGAAGGGCTTGTGGATAGTTAGTGAAGGCACCAGGAAGCAGAGGTGTTTGATCAGCAAAAGCAAAACACATTTCAACTATATTTGGATGAGACCCCAATTTCTTTTTCCTGTTTTTATGTTTTGTCAGTTTACCCAAAGAAAACTCGTCAATGGCTGGTAATGTCTCCTTATACACTGCATGCCATACAGCATATCCATTTGATTCAGCATTATAACTGAACATCACTTTTACAGCAAGGCTATTTGGAAGCAATTTCTCAGAAGAAAACCTCTTGATAGAAGCGGTTTTTTAATATCGAATTCTGCAGATCTTGCGTTCCTTCAGTATGCGATATAATAAATTTTGTTTGGTGTTGAACATTATCATAAGTTTCAGTTTCTTGAGCTTCCGAGAATTCTGCTGGCGAAACATCCATAAAGATAGACCTTTCTTCTAAACTGATGTCTGAAATTTTATTATTACTACTTAACTTCATTTCGCCTGAAAGCTCATTATTCACAACCATTTCACTTTCTATCTCTTTCTTTTCTTCCGATCTGGAATCTAAGTCTTCGGCACTCGCTCTCTCTAAACTCCTGCGCGCATGCGCCTGACTACGAGTCTCCACAACATTCAAGAGAACCGGTCGTTCCCTAATTTCCTCAATCAACTGTGCAGTTTTATTCCCTAACATATAGTACTCTTTATCTAACTCTACCGGAGTAACCGCTGTCTTTGCGGTGACCACGCCAAAATCACCTTCACTGATGACTTTCGCCAAAGGTAAACATTTACATTCTGTGTCAAAGGCTGTTTCACCCATACAGTTTCCCCTAATAAATCAACTAGTATTAATCCAAGTACTATTACACAGATCTATTCCAGCTCCCAGTATCTCTCAGAATATTCTCTCTCTATCCCATTAATTACTGCCTTTCTTGAAATACAGGCTCAAAACATTTTCCTAAACTCTCCCTTCCTAGATTATTCACCAGATTTGGCCTTATTCTTTTGCAGCGATGGACAGTTAGGTCGGATATGTCCGTCCTTTCCACATTGGTAACACCGTTATTTTCCTCTGTTTCTCGAAAACCTGCTTCATTGAAAACTTGCTTTTTTTTAGGAGCCTCCACTTTTCTATGCTCCTTTGATTTAATTCTTTGATGACCACTACTTTTCTGATTATAACTACCATTGGAATTTACATACCGCTCTCTGTCTTTCTCAAATGGTTTCTTTAACCCCGCTCTCTGTTCTAACTTCCTCGTATCTCTTCGCAAAGTCGCATTTCTCTGCTAAAATGGAAGCTGTTTTAAATTCTTCCCAATTGTCTAAGTAGTGCTCTCTTATTTCTAGAGGAACTCGCCGCTTAATTTGTTCGGAGAGCATAAGTTCCTTAAGACTTTCAAAATCTTAAACTTCCACTGAATCCAACCAATTCTCTAAATACACTTTCAATTCATACACTAAATCCTCCCAAAACATTCCGTTTTTTCTAGAATGTTCTTCAGATTTTGTTTTTAGTGCCCAAGAACTAAGCTTAAATCTCTGCATGAGTAATTTCTTAACATGCTAATAGTCATCCGATTTATCTGCTGGTTCTTTCCCTATTAACTGGACTACATCGGGAGGTAACAAAGGAATTAATTGCGAGACCCAATCAATCTCATTAACGTTCTCTTTTTGAGCTTGTTTCTCAAATAGCGTAAAGAATAATGAAATATCTATATTCCTCGGTTCAAAACGTGGTACTTCCCGCGAACGGGCTGGCTGCATGGGCGTTTTCGTGGTTTTCCCCATGTGTAACGTGTATACGAGCCAGTTTCCCTTAGAAAGTCCTCCACGAAAGGCATCCCTCCCCTTAGGCAGATAGCCCTCGTGTGCTTTGCCATAATTAAATACACCAACACCAAAACGTGGTACTAGATCTTTCAAATTAACCTTTTTTTCTCTAGATTGTTCAACTGTCGAAACCGTGGAAGCTAGGCTGTTAGTCTGAACCACATTTATCAATTTTAACCTTTCCAATTCAAAAATTCGCTCCCGCTCTCGTTCCCGTTCTGCTCTCTCTTGTTCAGATATTTCTTCTGCTTTTTTCTCTTCAGACGCTCCCCAAATTCTTGCCGCGTATTCTTTCGCCGTTTCTTCTTCATTGTCCTCGACATTTAGAATAGCCTGCCTAATTTCTCTTACTCTATTTGCTGAGACACATTTGTATCAAACTCCTCCGCTAACTCCAATAGCAGAGCTTTAGAAAATTTCCTCATAAACTCACTCATTATGGAAAATCAAAGAAAAATACCTATCCCAAAATACAATAAAACAAAAACAACAATAGATCTATCTCTCCAAAACTGAATAATACCCTAATAATTCTGAACACAAATTTCCTTACAGCACTTAATGATAATACCTATGCATACATACAAAACATATATCAAAAATGCTAATTAAGAGGCAACCTTTTCCTGCTCTATTTAACTATATATACATATTGTCCTCTAACTCTGGACTGATTTAAAAAAACTAAATTTTTCTAAAGCCTACCGTTACAATACTTCATACAATTTAAACAATCACTAAAACAACAGAACAAACAATTAAACTTTCAATTAGCAACAGTAACCACAAGACTAACTTTCAATAACCACCAGAAAACTTTTGATCCCCAAACACAGAGCTATATCCAAAATAAACCTAGTCTCGAATAACTGGCATAACTTCTCCAAAATCACAAAAATGGTACTCACCAATTTTGAAGACGCCTTCGATTGACTCCCCTGGCACTAACTTGGATACTCTTCCGGGAAATTTCACTATTTTGCGGCACTAGATCACGCTTCCTCCGGCGTTTCCTTCTGACACACTGTCACTTTTTACGGACACTTGTCACTGAAGAGGCTTCACCACGCGAACTGTCCTTGCACGCAAAATTAGATCGTTCTCGTGCAGAGAAGAATGTCTTGACTGCTCACATAAAACTCAAGTTCACAGGCGAAAAAGTCCGTTCCTAAATTTACTCTCAAGAACAATCCCTAAAAGCTGCCACTAATTTTTAATATTTACTGCTGCGGTGTAGTGGCCGAAACCGCTACGCAAACCCTGGGTTGTGACATCAGGTTTAAAAAAACACAGCAAAAAAAATTTATTGAACGCTAAAAAATGGCTACATACAATCCACAAGAGAAAAACCTATCTATATTAAAATCAAATTCTATACATTTTACGCGCGAGAGCAATACGTGGCTCTCGAGCCTGCGTTTTTAACATTGCCAACAATTTACGAGTAATATTATTTTAATAATAACTATTTTAACAACTATTGAAAACGTATTCGTAAGTTAAATAATAATAATAATTTTCAGCTTATGCTCACGAGACATCCTTGTCCATTTTAATCTTCAGTTTCTTCTTTCTTTATGTGACCTTATCACACCCTCTAAGCGGCAAGGCCGTATATACGGCCTAGAATATTTTTTGTCATATCTGTAAGAACGTATATACACTCTTAGACAAAAAAGTCGCACCAAGAAAGAGTTATCCGAATGGGACGAAAATCGGTAGAATCGAATGGGACGAAAATCGGTACATCGGTAGATCGATTTTCTAGATTCTTTCTTATTCCGTGCTTTCTGAAAATTATCAGTCTTTTGGGAAATCATTGCCTCGTTAAAAACTAATCTTTTTATAGGCGAAGATACCTTCACACCTTTCAGCAATTTCTTTAGTATTTGGTGTATCATCTTTCCTTTTGTTTTTCTTTCCCTTTTCTCTATTATAGAGATTTTTACTTTTATACTTGCTACATTTTGCTTTGTATGTTTTTAGTTCTTCCTCTAGCTCTTTTTTTTTTAATTATTATTATTTTCCTGTAAGCGGCTGACCTACCTCTTGTTTACTTTTTCCTACCGCTTTTATCGTAGCCCAAGTCAACGCGTAGCATTTCCTCAGACGGTTTTTCCCTTTCTTCAGATATTTTTATGTGTGACTGCCGATTTTAATCTCTAATATAGGAATTTTAGCATAGCAGTGGAGAGCATCCTGCTGTTTTCGTCATTATCTTCGACTTGAATTTCTGCGCACATACAGCACAATATGCCTCGCTCTTAAAAAGCTCAGTGGACCTCTTTTTTTTCTTTTTCATTTTAGGATTTCGGGCTGAGGGTGCATGCAATGCCAAATTTGTGCAGTTCTCTGGTGCTTTTTTAAGGAAAAACTGGTTGCTGTATACACAGGGAGTGCAAAAGCAAAAAAGAAAGAAGTGTGCCTGCTTCATATGGGAAAAGAAGAATTTAAAAAGGGCAGTACTGGATGCATCACTGAAATAAAGTTAAGCATCCCCAACCAAATGTTTCTCCCTCGTTTCGGCAATGAATTCGCAATTTTTGGTGGGGATGCAGATAGTCAGGAAATACCGAGCAAACTTTATATCCTTTAATAACAAACTTAAAATCGTTTCATTTTCTGGTTTTAACCCTTTGCAGTGATATATCTACTGTCGACAACCAAAGCATTTGTACCACTCCAGTCATATGCTGTCAGCCACTACAGCAAAGAATCATATTGATCTCATATTATATTAAGTACACACGCTTCGTAATATTGCATATTATGTATTAATATTCATTAAATGAAAATTAATTCTGAGCATAAATCATTTATAACTTACAATGTTACGCAATTATGTGAAAATAAAAAGGTAAAAATATATTTACGGGTGCACCCAAGGCCAACTAGATATCTACAGGCCTGCTCCACCGATTTGTGACGTTACAATCGAAGGCGATCGTTCCTCGGTAGACGCAGCCGACTGATTCATTTATGTAGTACGCAGCGTTTTATTTCAAACTCAGTCAAGTTAATTAAATTAATTTTTACAACTAATATTTCGAATTTAATTTTAGGAATAATAACGTACTATGTTACATCGTAATGATGGATATTTAAATACTAAATACCGTTCTACCGATTTATCAAACAGAAAATAAAATAAGATTCGAGTGAGTGATATTGTAAATATAGCAGAACTGATTTAAATAAAACTGAAACATATCTGAAACTTTTATACAGAAATAAAATGGACACAAAATTATTTATAAAAATTATACGGTATGTTAATATCAATGAAAATATAACATATGTAATGAACTAAACATGAGATGTTTTCATTTTTGTAAATAAAATGAAAAAATATGTTAAGGCTCTCAGATGATTTTATATTGCTTAAATTATGAAGACTGATT